GGCAAGAGATAAGGGCTTGCGGCTCGGTGATACTCCTCCATAGATCCCTACCGGACGCCTAAAAAACCGGATATATATATATATATATATATATATATATATATATTATATATATATATATATATATATATATATATACATTCGTTCATTTATCGCTTTAAATTCTATAACTTTGTCCCTAATCTTATTGTTAACCATGAATGCTGTACCGTTTTTCCCTTGCTTGTTTTCTCCCGAGTAGTATATTGTGTAGTTTTTCTTTTTGATATTTCCTTCTCCTTTCCATCGTACTTCTTGTAGTGCTAGTATGTCTATTCTGTATCTTTGCATTTCTCTTGCTACCTCTTCCATTTTCCCTGGTCTCAATAATGTTTGAAAGTTCCAGGTTCCTACTATTACTCTATTTTTCTTTTGTTTTTTCTTTTCCTATCTCTTTTTCCTACGCTTGATTCGTTGTTTTTTTTTCGTGCTAGTTTCGTCATCATGTTTTCATCCGTTTTCTTTAAAGTCTCTTTACATTCCATAGACGAGTTTTCCCCATTTGTTTGCCGGGATGTTTTAGTGATACTAGTCGTTTGTTCTTTACTATGTGCTACTTTTACATACGATCCCAGTTTTTTGGCTTTGTGCCAGTATTATTTGCGGACTTGGTTATTTTCGCCATATTTTCTGGTTTACTTTCGTCATCATCTGGTGATCTTTCAGTATATGTTCTTAATCTGGGTTTTTCTTGAGGTGTTTTCGTATTCATCGTTTCGTTTTGTGTCTTCTTGTACCCTAAGCTTTCCACAGTATATGTCTTTTCGTCTATTTTTGTATTTCCTTGTATCTCCTTGGAATAATCTTCACTTAGATAAATGTCAGTTCCTTTTAGTCTTTTCGGTTGGTTCATTATTTCTCTTCGTTTGGAACTGCTTTTAAGTTCCAGTAGTATCGGTCTCGGCAACTGTCCTATGGGATCTCTTTGGATACCAACGCGTCTTATATTTATTATGTCTGTGTGTTCATTTAGTGGAACTTGGATTTTAATTGCCATATTTTTTATACTATTTATCATTTTATTTTCTTGTTCTCCTTCTTTCTCTGTTATACCATATACTACATATATTTTTTCTTACTTCTCTTTCTAGATCTTCTATTCTTTTTTCGTGTACTTTATTTTCTGATTTTAATGCTATATTTTCAGCTTTTAATTCTATATAATATTCGATATAACAACATTAAAAATTAAAAACTGAAAAAAAAAGCACGAAACAGGTCAGAATGGAGAAGAATCCTTGAACAGGCCAAGACCCAAAAAGGGTTGTCGAGCCAGTGATGATGATGAATTCTGTGATCAGTTTCATGAGCTGTAAATGATTTTGTACATTTAGTTTTTGTTCTATTCTTGTACCTCTATTATCCATACAATCTAATTGTTCACTCATCTTTTTCATCATTTCCTCCATCTTTTACCAACTATAGATTCTTTTTCTAAATCTCTAGGATAACGTTAAAAGCTTTCTCACCTCGACGATTCGGAAGACTTTGCTTTTATCCAATCTCAGAGATTAGAAGTTAACTATTTTTGACGCACTTACTTCTGCAGATTTCTCTCACAGTCCGGCAACGTCGCCGTTTATGTCTATATTCCGTGACCTGAGGATTCCTTAACTGTCAATTGTCAAACTGAAATGTCCGCTTACTTTTTAGTTGTTTACGCTATTTATTATGTGTACTTACAGTTTTACTTGTGAATTTCTATTCACTGCACTTTTTTCTATGTCGATGCCACTTTCTGTGTATATTTTTTTAATTTATAACCATTATTTTTCGACTTATTCTTGGAGCGAAATAATTTTGACGTGTTATCACTCACACACACACGCACGCACACACACACACACACACACACACACACACACACACACACACACACACACACACACACGCACACATACTGTTGCCCCATATATTACCATATCCCATATATTTTATATTGACCCGCATGTGATTTTATCTTTGAGAATATGTCTCCTAATTGATTATAGAAAGCTTTTCTTTCTGCATCATCCAGTCAGATTCCAGAAGCATACACACACTGCATTCAGCATGTTTCAAGTACAAATTTAAAAAAAATTTCTGCAGACTAGAATCTCTATTGTAAGGCAATATTATTATTCTTTTTTAAACGCAAATTTAAGCCCGTTGAGTTACGCCACTGTCTAAAAAGTTAGCTAACATAAAAACTAGGCTATTTATCCCATCGTGGCAGGTAACAATGGCTTCGAATAGAAACAGTGGATTGTTTATAATTTTTTTAACTTGTCGGAAGGAACTGGAATAGTAATTCTTTAACGCATGAATAACTGTGAAATTTGTTAAAAAATGTTGATTCGTAGCGTTGAATACGTTTGCGAATATTTCATTTGTGTATTGGTTCTATTGTATTCGGTCTTTGATTTTTAACCTTTTATAAAGTGCTTAAAATAATTAGAAGAAACAGAATTTTTAATGTGAGTTTTTTACCAGCTATCCATTGGTTGTACGTACAAGTCTGTAGCAGCTTGAAAAATATAGAAGTTATTAGAATTGTTTATAAGTAAAAAACATACCCCTTTTTCAAATATTTATTTTTAAATAATTTCAATGTAAAAGGAATATGCGTTTAACTTCTGAGCTAGTTTAAGTCTTAAAGAATCCTATGAAATTTGCTAAATGTGTCTAGCATCATTAACAGAGCAAGTTCAATAGTTTAAATATTCATCTTCAACTTTTAAACTATTTGACCGATCGGGGGGGGGGGGGAATTTCGCACAAATTTTAGACGGTAATTACTCGATGTTCGAATGTATTAATAACATTTTATTTTGTTAATAAAAAAATTAATAAAATTTATAAATTAAAAAAATTTATAATTTTTTGCAAATATCTTCGTAAATTATTTATCAATTTTAATTTAAAAAACGGGAAAATAAATATATTCTTAATAAATGATATAAATATTGTTTATGTAAAATATTGTTGTCTTTATTAATTCTAATTTATTGTTTTTTCAAAGGTCCTATATTTATAACACAACTTAACTTAAAGTTAATATATAATAATTTATTTTACAATAATAATTTATTATTACGATCGTTACATTTCAAACGCGGCGCCCTTTTCTTCTGACTGATCCCCCACAATGAAAGTCCCGTTATTTATATGAAAACATCTGTTAGACTAGAAGAGTCGATGGCCTTCTCGTTTGGTATTGAGTTTCTCGAAGCCTGTGTATGTTGACCTGACGATAATACTAGAAGGTTACGGGGCTGGTTTCTTCATTCAACCTATTTTCGGAACGTTCGAATGGACCGATTTATTACTTGGAATTTCTGCCAGCTAGTCGAAGGGTCGTAAAATCTAGAACATATTAGTGGATAAACGACATGTTTACAGGTTTTTAATATGACTCATTTTTACGTAACAATATATGGGAAAAAACTTATAGACAAAAAATCGAACTGTGATCATAAATTATTGTTAAAAAAAACGTAAGTTAAAAATACGATTACATACTTTTTATCTATTCCTCATCTAGTAACCCTCCCCCCATGTCATAAAAGCTTCAGATATCTTCGAAAAATTTTGCCGTGAAATCGATGATTTTTGCATAACGACACTGGGCTAAAGCTATAATATGCAGACGAGGCTGATTTTACAATTTCTTAGTAGATTCATTCTCGATTCTTCTTACTATTTGTTAGTGTAATGCAGGTGTATTATTAATATTATATCCTATCGGGTATAAGTTATTTGTTATAAAACTGAATATACTTATCAGGCCGAAACAGTGTTGAACTCTCACCAATAATGTAGTGCTCATCAGACGTTGCACTGACTTCCTTCCTTTTTAGTTTTTTCTAAATGTTTTCAAAAACTCGGCCAGGCGGAAGAAACGAATGACCGCAATTTATTACGGCAAAATAATGGAATCGATTCTTGGAATCTATAAATCATACATTTTTATTTGCTGATTTTGGTGTACATTCACGTATAAAAATGAAATTTAATGCAAATTAAGCTTTTTATATACATACCACTCAGTGACATGAGTTACACCCAGAAGGAATAATTTCTTAAACTTAATTTTTTGGCATTAGAATGACTACATTTAAAACATGCTCTGATAACAATACCAATGTTTTATCTTCTCTACTTTTTGTAAAAATAAAGTTTTATCTTTAATTTTTTTTTCTGAAGAGACCGATTTGTGAAAACCAGTTCATATAGAAATTTTTAGTAATTATTCATCAGTCTAATTGTGTTCAGTGTAAGAAAATGCCCCAAGTTCGAAGACACCAAAATTACCACCATGTTAGCGATTTTGACAGGGGTAGAATTATTGCGTATTATGATATGGGTTTGTCATGTTAATGGTACGGCAATGATGGACGCATAGCCATGTCTGTCGTGTGTGGACAAACGAAGGTAGAGGAACAACTGGTCAACCGAGGCGTACCACAGAGTGTCAAGATAGGCGCTTTAGATTACTCTCTCTACGAGACCGTTTTGCTACTACGCGTCAAATTGCTGACCAATGGTTTGAAGTAGAAGGTAGAACTGTTAGTATACGTACACTATACCGTCGCATTCGAGCCTTTGGACTGGTTTCATTTCATATCGACTTTCTCCAAGAAGCTGGCGTTAATGTTTTGCCGTGGCCGCCCCGTGCTCCAGGTTTAAATGCTATCTAACATGTATGGGATATGATGGGAAGGAGACTGTCTACTTTGCACCGTCCTCCATAGACAGTTAATACAAACAGTTTAAGTTGCTTAGAACGAGGTGCCACAAGCAGACATCGATGATCTCATTTTGTCAATGCCTAGACTTATAAGAGTATATTCAGCTACGGGGTCGCCAAACACATTATTAATTTTTTTTATTACTTGTTAATAAAAATTCTTTGACAACGTTATCGTTTTATTCTTGAAGTAAATCTACCATGTTACCTGTTTTATTCTTTTTTTTTCCAGTGATGAAGCGCGAGGATTGGGTTTCACGGTTCTAGTGGATATGAGAGGATCAACGTGGTCGACCGTCAAACCTATCCTGAAGGCATTGCACGAGCACTTTCCACCTGGCACAATCCATCAAGCACTCATCGTCAAGCCTGATAATTTCTGGCAAAAGCAGAGGACATCGCTTGGTTCACATAAGTACAAATTTGAGGTAAGTGGAAAGCATCTTTTGAGTATTCTAAATGTCAAAGGAGTCCGCACCTTTCTATACTGCGACCTGAAAGGTTTTTGTTTTGTATAGCATGCATCTAGTTTACTACAACAGATCTGGAAGTGGAAGATCTGGCAGAATAAGACTCATAGATGTAATCCATCTTCTGTATAATAGAGAAGTTCCTTAAATATTGTAAAAACTACCGAAAAAAATTACCAAAACAACAAAATGAAAGTCATAATAAATGGACAACTTACAGAATCTATAGAAATAGGCACCGGAAAAAGATAAGGGGATTCATTGAGCCCCATAATCTTTAATTTGATCATGGATTAAATAATCAAAAGCGTTAACAAAGGAAGAGGGTACAGAATGGGAAACCAAGAAATAAAAATACTCTGTCACGCAGACGACGCCATATTGGTAGCTCAAAATGAAGATAATCTGCAAAAACTGGTCCACAGATTTGACATAAGAGCAAAAGAATTGAATATGACAATCTCATCTCAGAAAACTAAAACAATAGTAGTCAAAGAACGATAGTATCAAACAACCAACCAGATGTAAAATAGAAATTGATGGTATCAGTATTCAGATGGCGTTTCAAGTAATGAAAATAAAACATCTGGGAACTACATTGTCCATATGCCTCAGAAACAAGACCCGACACATCCACAACGCAAAGGCTACTGGAAACGGCAGAGATGAGAGTACTGAGAAGAATTACAGGAAATACGCTGAGAAATGGAAAGAGAAGTGAAAACATTAGAAGAAAATGTATCGTACAGTGTATAAATGAATGGACACAAAATAGAAAAAAAGAATGGAATAACCACATAAGCAGAATGTCCTCCATTCTGCTGACCCGTGTCGTCAAAATAGCAAGAGATAAGTCACCAATAGGCAATTAGATGGAGTGACAACCTTTCATAGAGGTATTAATCCTCCAATGAACAATCAGCATTGCTTATAATGAGGAGCAAGAAGAAGAAGATCTTACCTATTATCTTTTTAGTAATGATATTTATTAGATGGGTAGGCTCTAGAAACACTTGTCCCAGGTATTTGTGGTGTTAGCGAACAATTGCCTTGCAGTTGCAGACAATTGGTTCTCTCGTTTACTCTTCATTTTCGCAAAATCTTTGTGTTGTTCTGTCCCCTATTACCCATTTTATAGAGATGAATTTTCAGCGAGCAGTGTCCAATGAAACACCTATGGTTATTATGACTTCAGTCTTTTGAAGCTCTAAGAGTATTTTACGTAGCGAGCAGAAGGTTGTAATAACCACAATAATGTTTGCAGTTCCACACTGTTACCGACTGAAGTTGTAGACCTTATGATCAATGATATTGGCCAATGTTGAGGCTATATTTCTATCAGTGACAAATGACATTTAATGTACACTAGTATCATGTATTTTGTTTGTAAATTAAGCACACCCTTACACTTTACTGCGGTAAATGTTGATGACATTTTTCACAGCACAGTTATGGCGCTGTAACGATGCAAATTAAGATATGAACGCTAAATTTATATTTAGGGAGAATATAAAATATATGCATACCTAGTTACTTATACTAATCTTGATTTGGTTTAGCCGATTTTGATGAATAAATTAAATAAATACTAACATTGTAGTTTCGCATTTAATTAATAAAGATTTAAGAACCAATTCTTATATTAAGTGTTCAAAATATGCTTTATCTGCTATGATCAAAAAATCTAATGGTATGAAGTCCGGTGACCAAGCTGGCCATTCCATTTTTTGATACTGGCACGTATTCAACTTCTTAGCTAGCACTGTATACTGACCTCAGTCGCAACTAGCAAATGTATTAATTATTTTTTGACCGACTGGAAATTGCAGAAAATTACTGTATAACCAAGCACACGTGCTCATAGCCAATATTCATTGTATCTTACAAATAAAAATTATTTGAGTGTAGTTGATTAACAAAACGAAACTGCATCAATTACTTAAAGCAAAAGTTTAAATGTTTATTTTTGAAATTACATAGTCGTTTATAGATCGTAATTACAAATGAAAAGTTTTTGATTTTAATGAAAATTAATGAATATACACTCCCATTTTTCATGATTAATATTCTTTTCTCAATGAACAATGTCGGCAACAGTAAGTTAATTTGAAAGCTATTAATAGTGAGATAGAAAATTTTTGTGGTGTATGTTTCCGACAATGAATATGTCAGAATATTCCCAAGATTTGCGAACGGCCTATACTTTCAACACCGATGCTACAATAAAATTTTAACTGACAGGTAGAAAAGTGTCAATCAAAGAAATTTATAATATATTTTTGATAAATTTTATTCTGTCACATGTCAACGTGATAAAATAACAATAATGGAAATTCGACAAATATACTTTATATACTCATATAAAAATATTTCCAAACAAAAACGTAAAAAGTCGGCATTAAAGTTTGGCATCGACTCGTCTTGGCTATTGCGGAACTTGTGACGCACTCTTAATAGTAGAACTGTATTGCAGTTTTCTTTAATATTCATATGATTCAAAAATTGCGGAATATTGATCCTTAAATTCAGAATTAAATAAGGATATTTTACTGAAGTTCTACAGGGTGTTTCAAAAAAGGTAACCCCGTCTCTAGGGTAGGTAAGAAACTGAAAAATAATTGGGGTTTACTTAGTAAAAATTTTTGTAACGCCATCTGCTTTCAAGATACAGGGCGTTGAAGAAAAAAAATTTTACGCATTTTTTACGATTTTGCCGAAACTACTGGCAACATTGTAATGCCATTTTATACGAATATGATTTGGAAGCTGATACATCCCATGAATTTGTTTTTATATCTGATTCTCATAGAGGTCGCTAGTTACACGGATCGTACTATTAGTCAATATAACTTTTTTAAGAGTATGTATAATTATTAATCAAATTTTTAAGTAAACTTAAACATCATTAAATTTTACACGAATAAGGTACTCTTGGTAAAACTCGATACTGTGTACCGTTTTCGGAATATCTTGATTTGAAAATTATGAAGTAATAAGTGATGCTGGTAGTAATGATAAAATACTAATAGGTATACCTCTATTTTCTCCAAGTATGCCATGGAAATCTGACATTTATTGATTGTTATGACGATAAATCAACAATAATTATGAGTTTGGAAACCTAGTTATTTGTAAAATCAAATCAAAATGTACTCAAATGTTGAATACATTGACATATTATTAAGCTTAGGCGAATGTTTAGGATGTTCTATTGCAGCTGTGACACGTTATGCAGAAAAGTTTCCTAGAAGAAACTTACCAAGTAAAAAAACATTTAGAGCCGTTGAACGACTTTGTCGAGAAACTGGGAATGTGAGACCAAATAAAATAAATTCTGGTAGAACAAGAACAACAAGAACAATTAATAAAGAAAATAATATTTTAAATTTACTTGAGCAAGATCCAACAGTTAGCGTAAGGAATATAGCAAGACAAACAAATACTTCTTCTTCAAGTACTTGGCGGATACTCAAAGAACAGCAATTACATCCTTATCATTACAGACAAGTCCAAGAGCTCTTGCCAGATGATCTACCGGTTAGAGTGGATTTTTGTGAAACATTGCAACAAAGGACAGCCCACAATCCGAAATTTTTAAAATGCATTCTTTTTACGGACGAGACCACCTTTAAGGAGGCCGCGCATTGAATCGGCTCGGAACGGTCGGCTCGGAACGGTACGATTAGATCGGCAAAGTGTACCGCGCACTGACTCAGTCTCATCGGCATCGGCACCATCGGCAGTTTCGTATCAGCAACCGTTTGAAATAGACTTAAATTATCTTAAAAATGAGTTCTAGTTCATCAGAGTCTGAAGATGTTATGATTACCTTAGCGTGTAATGAAATGCAAAAACAAAAACCAAGATATTGGATTCATAACATTAATTTAAAACGTGAAACTTATGGGGAGTTTTATCATTTGTTTCCGGACTTACTCGAAGATGACGAAAAGTTTTTTAAATATTTTCGAATGTCTAGTGTTAAATTTTATGAACTAGTTGATCTATTACCCCTTAGAAAGCAGGACACAAACTTTTCACAAACCTTTCTATGCGTAAAATACTACTAGACAACGACGTCAGCATCAGACCATTCGGCAGTTTTTGCCCCTGCTATCATTCTCCGCCGATGCCGAGACGATCTGACCGGTCCGAGTCGAACTTTCTTAAGCGGTGCGCGGTGGTTCATGTATTTTAATGTATAGCAAAATATGCTGATTGCTCTTAGCCGAGCCGACCGATCCGAGTCGATTCAATGCGCGGCCTCCTTTACGCGACAAGGTATGTTTAACTCCCATAATGCACACTACTGGTGTGATGAGAATCTACGAGTCAAAAGGGCATCACAGTACCAACACTCATTTAAAGTTAATGTTTGGGCAGCAACTTTAGGTAATAAATTAATAGGTTATCATATTCTACCTGGAAATTTAAATGTATCTTGATTTTTTAAACAATTCCTTATTCGAGATATTAGAAGATTTAACGCTAAACGAGCGATCTTTATTTTTTATGCACGATGGAGCTCCACCACACTTTGATAGAAGGTGTCGTAATTGGTTGAGTAATCATTTTCCGAATCGATGGATTGGTAGAGGTGCAGAAGCTCCGATTCATTAGCCTCCTCGGTCATGCGATTTTAACCCTTTGGACTACGCAGTTTGGTCCTATATTAAGGAAAAATCTATGAGTTTTGTTTAATTACTAACTATTTTATACCAGCATCAATTATTACTTCATAATTTTCAAATCAAAATATTCCGAAAACGGTACACAGTATCGAGTTTTACCAAGAGTACCTTTTTCATGTAAAAATGAATAATGTTTAAGTTTACTTGAAATTTTGATTAATAATTATACTCATAAAAAAGTTATATTGACTAATATTTAGTACGATCCGTGTAACTAGCGCCCTCTATGAGAATCAGATATAGAAACAAATTCATGGGATATATCAG